CTGGGAGAGCCCCAAAATTCAGCAAAAAAATATCAAAATTATCCCAAAACTGAAGCAAATCCTTGGAGTTCTGGACAGTGATAGTTCCATTCACCAAAAATATCAAAATTGCCTCAAAACTGCAGCAATTCCCTGGAGTTCCAGGCAGTGAGAGCTCCCATGGCATCACATTGATCAAAAATACCAAAATTGCTCCAAAGCTGCAGGAAATTCTTTGAAACACCAGGCAGAGACAGCTCCATTCACTAAAAATATCAAAACTGCCCCAAAACTGCAGCAATTCTTTGGAAATCCAAGCACAGACAGCTCCATTCACCAAAAATATCAAAACTGCCCCAAAACTGCAGCAATTCCTTGGAAAATCCCAAAACTGCCCCAAAACTGCAGGAAATCCCTGGAGCTCCAAGCAGTGACAGCTCCCATTGTACCACATTCATCAAAAATATCAAAATTTCCCCAAAACTGCAGGAAATTCCTTGGAAATCCAGGCAGAGACAGTTCCATTCACCAAAAATACCAAAATTGCCCCAAAACTGCAGGAAATTCCCTGGAAATCCAAGCACAGACAGTTCCATTCACTAAAAATACCAAAATTTCCCCAAAACTGCAGGAAATCCCTGGAACTCTGGGCACAGACAGGTCCATTCACCAAAAATATCAAAACTGCCCCAAAACTGCAGCAATTCCTTGGAAATCCAAGCACAGACAGTTCCATTCACTAAAAATCCCCAAATTTCCCCAAAACTGCAGGAAATTCCTTGGAAAATCCAAGCACAGACAGCTCCATTCACCAAAAATACCAAAATTTTCCCAAAACTGCAGCAATTCCTTGGAAAATCCCAAAACTGCAGGAAATTCCTTGGAAATCCAGGCACAGACAGCTCCATTCACCAAAAATATCAAAATTGCCCCAAAACTGCAGCAATTCCTTGGAAAATCCCCAAATTTCCCCAAAACTGCAGGAAATTCCTTGGAAAATCCAAGCACAGACAGCTCCATTCACCAAAAATATCAAAATTTCCCCCAAACTGCAGCAATTCCTTGGAAAATCCC